CATTGGGTTTAGTAACAGTATTTAGAAATACTGATTTTTGTCAAATTTTGTTTGTCACAAATATTTATATTGTTTCGAGCGAAGCTATTTTAGTTGTGCTTATCACACACACGGTAAAGACCCACAGGTTTGAATGTGTTGAGTGAATATGTTATATTCAACATGGCGTAAAGAGAATGGTGTGTGCATACCGCTGCAGTTCGCGCAGCCTCGAGCGGAAGGGATACGACGTCACTAACCGAAACGTGCTCGAAAGAGGTAGATGTCAACATGCATGCCACGTTCTCTTTACGCCATGATATTCAATATAAGATCTATCAATAACCGGAAAAAGTTTTATGTTAAATTATAGTCATTCAAAAAGAGTTGTAAACTACACTTCAAATATGCCAAATTTAAAATTAAAAAAAAAATTAAAGACCCTTTTTTAAAATTATGATTCTTTCACGGAACACCTATTACATTGTGCGGAACACCAGTGTTCCGCGGAACACAGTTTGGGAAACACTGGCCTAGGGAGGTTGTGGAATCTCCATCTCTGGAGATATTTAAGAGTAGGTTAGATAAATGTCTATCAGGGATGGTCTAGACAGTATTTGGTCCTGCCATGAGGGCAGGGGACTGGACTCGATGACCTCTCGAGGCCCTTCCAGCCCTAGAATCTATGAATCTATATCAGGAACATAAGAAATTATAGCAGTGGTATCTATTAATAGACAGGGACAATAAAATTGTTAATGTTGCAGAAAAGATGTGTTAAATGTTTGTTCTGTATTTGGGACAAAGCCGGATGACACATTCAATTTACAGCAATAATGAAATACTTTATATTCCCACATATGTTAAATGATTGCAGTACAATTAATGCCAGTTATCATGGTTTTATGGAAAATAGGTCTCGTCAAACAAACTTGATCGTGTTTTTTGATGAGATTAAAAGTTATCACATTTCTTTTGTCAATATAACATACTTTGGTAAGGCATTGTACTATATAACATTATGAATAGTTACTGCTATACAAAATGTAACATATTAAATGGATCAAAAACTGGCTAAATGATAGATCTTGAAAAGTAATTGAGTGGCTGTCCCATTTACAATGGGGGATTTCTTAGTGGGGTCCCACAAGGATGTAATGATTGTGACCCAATTCTATTCAATATCTTTATCAATGATCTGGAAGTAAATGTAAAATCATTGCTCGTAAAATTTGCAGATGACACCAAAAGTTGGTGGATGGTAAATAAGGATAGGTCAGCCATACAGTGCTCTCAGGATTGCTTGGTAAATGGGGTTTATTTGTATAACAAGTTTTAATATACTTAAATACAATGTCATACATCTAGGAACCAAGAATGTAGGTCCAGCTTATAAGATGGAGAACTGTGGAATTTGGAAAGGAGTAACTCAGAAAAGGACTTAGCCTGGTCTACACTGGGGGGGGGGGGGGTGTCGATGTCAGAAACGCAACTTCAGCTACGGGAATACCGTATCTGAAGTTGACATATCTTATTCCGACTTACTTCCCGTCCTCACGGCGCAGGATCGATGGCCGCGGCTCCCCCGTCGACTCCGCTACCGCCGCTCGCTCAGGTGGAGTTCCGGAGTCGACGGGGAGCACGTTCGGGGATTGATATCGCGTCTTAACGAGACATGATATATCGATTCTTGATAAATCGATCGCTACCCGCTGATACGGCGGGTAGTCTGGACGTACCCTTAGAGTCCTAGTGGAAAACCAACTCAACATGAGCTCATGGTGCATTGTGTTGGCTAAGCAGGGGAATGTTGAGTAGAAGTAAGGAAGTGGTATTACCTTGCTATATAGCATTGGTGAGACTATTCCTGGAACATACTGTCCTCTTCTGGTGTTCACACTTCAACAAGGATGTTGAGTAATTGGAAAGGGTTCAGAAAAGTGATATAAGAATGATTTGAGGTCTGGTAAACCCATTTTACATTGAAAGACTAAAGAAGCTTAATTTGTTCATTTTAAGAGAAAAGATTTGAGTCCACTTAAGCGTGGTCTTTAAATACATACATAGGGAGAAGATTTCTTATAGTAGATGGCTCTTTAAGTTGGCAGACAAAGGGTATGTCTACACTACAAAATTAGGTCGATTTTATAGAAGTCGATTTTTTAGAAATCGATTTTATACAGTTGATCGTGTGTCCCCCCCACTAAGCGCATTAAGTCGGCGGAGTGTGTCCACAGTACCGAGGCTAGCGTCGACTTTCGGAGCGTTGCACTGTGGGTAGTTATCCCACAGTTCCCAGAGTCTCCGCCGCCCATTGGATTTCTGGGTTGAGCTCCCAATGCCTGATGGGGTAAAAAAATTGTCACGGGTGGTTTTGGGTACATGTCATCAGGCCCCCCTCCCTCCCTCCGTGAAAGCAATGGCAAACAATTGTTTCTCGCCTTTTTTCCTGGGTTACCTGTGCAGACAACATACCACGGCAAGCATGGAGCCCGCTCAGCTCACGGTCACCGTACGTCTCCTGGGTGCTGCTGGCAGACGCAGTACTGCATTGCTACACAGCAGCAGCTCCTTGCCTTCGTGGCAGCACACGGTGCAGTATGACTGCTAGCTGTCGTCGTCGTCTCCTGGGTGCTCGTGGCCGACCTCAGGGCAGACATGGATGCTCCTGGCAGACCTCAGTGAGGTCGGTCGGGGCACCTGGACATAAATGGGAATGACTCCAGGTCATTCTCTTCTTTAAGTTTCATCTCATGGAGATTCAGTCTGGCCTGGAATATCATGTGAGCTGGAGGCTTCTGCCTCAGGCTGCTCTCCCAGCCGGCAGCACCGTGCGGTCGCACCTACCCCAGCCTACCCCTTGCTCTCATGGCTCATGAAGCCTGGACAGTAGTAAGGAGCAGTTCAACTATAGGCTGAGCAAGTGCAGAATGGTGGTAGAATGTGCATTTGGACATTTAAAAGCGCGCTGGCGCAGTTTACTGACTCGGTTAGACCTCAGTGAAACCAATATTCCCATCGTTATTACCGCTTGCTGTGTGCTCCACAATATCTGAGAGAGTAAGGGGGAGACGTTTATGGCGGGGTGGGAGGTTGAGGCAAATTGCCTGGCCGCTGATTACACGCAGCCAGACACCAGGGCGGTTAGAAGAGTACAGCAGGGCGCGCTGCGCATCAGAGAAGCTTTTGAAAACCAGTTTCATGACTGGCCAGGCTACGGTGTGAAAGTTCTGTTTGTTTCTCCTTGATGAAAACCCACCCCCTTGGTTCACTCTGCTTCCCTGTAAGCCAACTGCCCTCCCCTTGCCCCCTTTGATCACTACTTGCAGAGGCAATAAAGTCATTGTTGTTTCAAATTCATGCATTCTTTATTAATTCGTCACACAAATGGGGGGATAACTGCCAAGCTAGCCCGGGAGGGGTGGGGGAAGAAGGAAGCACCGGGTGGCGTGGTGGAGGAGGGAAGGACAAGGCCACACTGCACTTCAAAACTTATTGAATGCCAGCTTTCTGTTGCTTGGGCAGTCCTCTGGGGTGGAGTGGAGTTCTGATAGTACGGATTCCTCTCCCCATACAGCAATCAGATCCAATATCTCCCATTCGGTCCATGCTGGAGCTCTTTTGCGATTCTGGGACTCCATGGTCACCTCTGCTGATGAGATCTGCACGGTCACCTCTCAGCTCGCCACGCTGGCCAAACAGGAAATGAAATTCAAAAGTTCGCGGGGCTTTTCCTGTCTACTTGGCCAGTGCATCTGAGTTGAGAGTGCTGTCCAGAGCGGTCACAATGGAGCACTCTGGGATAGCTCCCGGAGGCCAATACCGTCGAATTGTGTCCACACTCCCCCAAATTGGACCCAGCAAGGTCAATTTCAGCGCTAAGTCATCATCGGGGAGGAGTACAGAAATCGATTTTAAGAGCCCTTTAAGTCGACAAAAATGGCTTCGTCGTGTGGACGGGTGCAGGGTTAAATCCATCTAATGCTGCTAAATTCGACCTAAACTCATAGTGTAGACCAGGGCTAAGTCACAACAGGATCCAAAGGGTGGAAGTTAAAGCTAGATAAATTCAGATTAGAAATGAGAATTTTTAAAAGTTAAGATGATTAATCATTTCAACAGCTTATCTAGGGATGTGATGGATTCTTCATCATTTGCAGTCTTTAGATCATGATTGGTCTCTTTCTGAAAGAGATGCTCTAGCTCAACCAGAAGTTATGGGCTTGTTGCAGAAATTACCATGTGAAATTCTCTAGTCTGTGTTATGTACGAGGTGAGACTAAATGATCATAATGATCCCTTCTGGCCTTAAAATCCACGGAGCTTGTCGTTTTAGAGAGACACCTGGTGCCCCCCCCTTTTCCTCTTTATTCAAATTCTTAGTCCTAGCGTAGTTCCTGGTGCCTGTTGTAGTTATGGGATGTTTTTTCTTTGGGAACATCCCTCAAGCTCTCTGCTCTCTAGGAGTGAGAATTCTGCATGGATGTGGGATCGTTCAAGAAGGGGGAATGACTTATCTTGTCACTCTAATTCTCTGAAGAAACCTTCTCACAGGATTCTCTCTCGTGCTCTCCTGCCAGTTGTATTTGGAAGGGAACTTTCTTGAAATGGGGTTTCTTTCATTTTTGTACATAGTCTTTTTGAAGCATAAGTTTTAAATCCTTTTTGATTTGTGACATGCTGCTCTTTTTTCCCCATGGTATCTCTGCTTTCTGCTCAGCCAGAAACTGTCTGAAAGATATGAATTTGCAATCATTAGAATCCTGTGTGGTGCATGATCACCAGGGTGTGTCTTGTGTGACCTCCTGTCCTTCGTGATCAACAGGTTTAGTACTTGAAGTGTTCATCTTTCTCAAACTAGGGATCACAGGCCCCTGGAATGAGTCCTTGTCAGATGATATCTTCAGAGAAGCAGAAAGACCAAGTCGTTGCTCTTTTTGCACTGTAACTGTCATAAAAAAAAAAGTTCATTCTTTCACGTCCATACTAAACTCATTTCTTCTTGTGGATTGTGTTACTAGGAGGCTGGAGCCCACAGAGAAACCCCTTCAGATTGTGTACGAGTACTTGGCTGGGCTCGGCTTTGAGGATCTTGTGAGAATACAGGAAGAGGCAGCAAACTCTGATCTCAGCTGCATGATTCGCTTTTACAATGGTAAGAATTTGCATATAACAGATCACATCAGACACCTAACATGTATCACTGGATACTGCTTTTAGAAATAAGCTGCCAAGGTTACTAAGAGAAACATTTTACAAATCAGATCTTTTGTTCTCTCAAGAGAGCATTTGTTACATGGTTGTGGGATGAAACAGACTCCTAGGGAGTGATGTTTTGGCTTATATCTTTATTTTTAATATTTGTATTACCACAAAGCTTCACTGCACAAAGCGTTAAACATTTGAGTATGCAATTCCTGCCCTGAAGAGATGCAGTAAAATACTTGTTTATAATTTTAAAAAGTGCAAAGTGCCAGCTAACCCTGTCTGACCCCTAAGTCTTCATTAGTCAGCTGATATAAGTGACTCACAGAGGTGAGTCTCAAGAGCTTTGGAGGAATGGATATGATGGCCTTATGGATCATTTGGGGAAGGTGTTGCATGCCATAAAGGTTAGCATGGAAGAAGACATAGTAGTGTTCATAGAATCATAGGACTGGAAGGGACTTTGAGAGGTCATCTAGTCCAGTCCCCTGCACTCATGGCAGGACTAAGTATTATCTAGACCATCCCTGATGGGTGTTTGTCTAACCTGTGCTTAAAAATCTCCAGTGACAGAGATTCCACAACCTCCCTAGGCAATTTATTCCAGTGCTTAGCCACCCTGAGAGTTAGGAAGTTTTTCCTAATGTCCAACCTAAACCTCCCTTGCTGTAATTTAAGCTCATTGCTTCTTGTCCTATCCTCAGAGGTTAAGAAGAACAATTTTTCTCCCTCCTCCTTATAACAACCTTTAATGTACTTGAAAACTGTTATCATGTCCTCCGTCTTCTCTTTTCCAGACTAAACAAACCCAATTTTTTCAATTTTCCCTCATAGGTCATGTTTTCGAGACCTTTAATAATTGTTGTTGCTCTTCTCTAGATTTTCTCCAATTTGTCCACATTTTTCCTGAAATGTGACGCCCAGAACTGGACACAATACTCCAGTTGAGGCCTAATCAACGCGGAGTAGAGCGGAAGAATTACTTCTCATGTCTTGCTTACATCCTGCTAATACATCCCAGAATGATGTTTGCTTTTTTGGCAACAGTGTTGCACTGTTTCATGTTAGAAGCCGCCAAATAGGCGGAAGAGACTGGCTTGACTGGTTGAACAGGAAGACGGAGGGGTGAAGCATTAGGAGATGGTAGGTGCAGAAGAAGAAGAGAATGAGGGAAACTGTTAAAATTAAAGGGTTACTTGATTTTCTAATGCATTAACTGCTTCTCCTCTTGATGTGTTTCAGGGAAAGTTTAAAATGTTTCATGATAGTCACTTTGTAGTGGACCACACTTAACTGTTTTGTATTGAAAAAGGAAAACAAGGGTAATTAATTTAACCTTTTGGGCCTGGGACCCGCCACCTTACCAATACCACAGGAAGGAACAATGTTCAAGACAGGAGATAGTGAGGGTCTGGCCAATGGGTTTATGCTGTCTGGACAGAAAGAAGAGGATGGATCATAATGTAATCTAGGAAGTAATAGTATGATTTAGACAGTCTGAATTTGTGAGGTGAAAGAGGGAGGAGTCAGAGAAAGTGATTGAGAAAGATATCATTAGTGACAGAGTGGAGAGGGCTTGGGAGGAAATATCAGGAATTTGTTTTTGAGTATGTTAAACATGACCTGGCAGTTTAACATTCAGGAGGAGATGACATACAGGCAGAGATGTGGCAGTGGGTGGAGGCAGACAGTCAGGAGTGGAGAGGTATCTCAGAGTCTTTGGCAAAAGATGGTAGTTGAAACTGTGTAGCTGGGTAAAATCACCCATGAAGAGATCATAAAGGAAAAAAGAGGAAAGGACTGAGGATAGAACTTTGGAGGACCATATAGAAAGTGACAGAAGAGGATCAATTAAAGTATGCTGAAGGAGTGATCTGAGAGGTTGGAGAATCGTGCGAAGACAGTCACAAAAGTCAAGACGGCAAGATTTCAAGTAGTGTATGGTTGAGAATGGCAACCAGAAGAAAAGTCAGAGGATGAGGATTGAGTACAGGCCCTGGATTTGGGTCAAGAAAAGTCAGAGGAAACATTGCTGAGAACAGTTTTGGTGGAGTCACTTCACTCATGTAGGGCAACACCTCTAAGAGGGCACAACAGCAGATTTGCATCAATTTTACTGATTTCCTCCCCCACCCGCACCCCTAGACACCTTTGACTGTTGTTTCCCTTATCCCCTCTCCTGTTTCCTTCAGGTGTTGGGGCAATTCCTTTTCAATTGGTAACAAGTCCCTTAGTCCAACCATCAGGCCATAGAGGTCGTAAGAACACGAATGGGGGAAGCTGCTGGTAGAGAGCCTTCTCTGCTGGCCAGTAAGGTAGGTACAGAGGTGCTAGTATGATGAATTTGTTCACAATGAGGGCCTGTAGGACTAGTTAGTGGTATGGTCACAGGGACCTGGGAGCCTTAAGGGGCAGGGAACTTACTAGACTGGCTGTAGAATAGATACAGAGAGCATGAGGTGGGGGCTGCCTCTAAACTAGACACGGGAGGATGGAGATCAGGGTACTTCCTAGACTAGATAGATGAACATAGGAATCTGTAAGTGTTTGTCAGGGAATCTTCTGTGCTCTGGCAGCAGCTCAGTTGCCAGTAGAAAGATAGTGTCTTGCTGAGTCACCATGCTGGTCACGGATGTCATGGTGTAATAGATAACAATGAATCTTTTAGCCCAGTGGGATGGACACAGCATGAGGAAGGAGAGGCATTTTTTGTCCTGGGGATTTGCCTTGATTGCAGCCATTGGGGACCACCTACTGGTAAAAATGCATCAGTGCAAACTGTGGCTGCTTGTTGGTAGTGCTACCTTTAGCTATAAGACTGTTTGTTTCTTCTTGGAGTGATGATCCCTATGTGGAACAAGGTCAGCTCCCAGACTGCTGCACTGGGCAGCACAGCATGGCAAGGAGGTTACCACCGCTCTGTGGAGAAAGAAGTGATTCAGGACTATTTAGAAAAGCTGGACGAGCACAAGTCCGTGGGGCCGGATGCGCTGCATCCGAGGGTTCTAAAGGAGTTAGTGGGTGCATAGCCATTGGCCATTATCTTTGAAAACTCATGGCGATCGGGGGAGGTCCTGGACGACTGGAAAAAGGCTAATGTAGTGCCCATCTTTTAAAAAAGGGAAGAAGGAGGATATGGGGAACTACAGGCCATTCAGCCTCACCTCAGTCCCTGGAAAAATCATGGAGCAGGTCCTCAAGGAATCAATTCTGATGCACTTAGAGGAAAGTGATCAGGAACAGTCAGCATGGATTCACCAAGGGCAAGTCATGCCTGACTAACCTAATTGCCTTCTATGATGAGATAACTGGCTCTGTGGATGAGGGGAAAGAAGTGGACGTGTTATTCCTTGACTTTAGCAAAACTTTTGATACGGTCTCCCATAGTATTCTTGCCGGCAAGTTAAAGAAGTATGGGCTGGATGAATGGACTATAAGGTGGATAGAAAGCTGACTAGATCGTCGGGCTCAACAGGTAGTGATCAATGGCTCCATGTCTAGTTGGCAACCGGTATCAAGCAGAGTGCCTCAAGGGTCGGTCCTGGGGCCGGTTTTGTTCAATATCTTCATTAATGATCTGGAGGATGGCGTGAACTGCACCCTCAGCAAGTTTGCAGAGGACACTAAACTGGGAGGAGTGGTAGATACGCTGGAGGGTAGGAATAGGATACAGAGGGACCTAGACAAATTAGAGTATTGGGTCAAAAGAAATCTGATGAGGTTCAACAAGGACAAGTGCAGAGTCCTGCACTTAGGACGGAAGAATCCTGTGCACTGCTACAGACTAGGGACTGAGTGGTTAGGCAGCAGTTCTGCAGAAAAGAACCTAGGGATTATAGTGGACGAGAAGCTGGATATGAGTCAACCGTGTGCCCTTGTTGCCAAGAAGGCTAACAGCATTTTGGGCTGTATAAGTAGGGGCATTGCTAGCAGATTGAGGGACGTGATCATTCCCCTCTATTCGGCATTGGTGAGACCGCATCTGGAGTATTATGTCCAGTTCTGGGCCCCATACTACAAGAAGGATGTGGAAAAATTTGGAAAGAATCCAGCGGAGGGCAACAAAAAATTATTAGGGGTCTGGAGCACATAACTTATGAGGAGAGGCGAGGGAACTGGGATTATTTAGTCTGCAGAAGAGAAGAATGAGGGGGGATTTGATAGCTGCTTTCAACTACCTGAAAGGGGATTCCAAAGAGGATGGATCTAGACTATTCTCAGCGGTAGCAGATGACAGAACAAGGAGTAATGGTCTCAAGTTGCAGTGGGGGAAGTTTAGATTGGATATTAGGAAAATCTTTTTCACTAGGAGGGTGGTGAAGCACTGGAATGGGTTATCTAGGGAGGTGGTGGAATCTCCTTCCTTAGAGGTTTTTAAGGTCAGGCTTGATGAAGCCCTGGCTGGGATGATTTAGTTGGGGATTGATCCTGCTTTGAGCAGAGGTTGGACTAGATGACCTCCTGCGGTCTCTTCCAACCCTGATATTCTATGATTCCAAACACGGGGTGCATGTGCTGGAGCTGGAACTGATCATAGTAGTGACCATTGATCTGCATGTGTGTCGACCACGTAGGGCTTCCGAGGCTTTAAGATGCTGTGTGGGTCGATGCCACTCCAGTTCTGTCTTACCGCCACATGGCCAGAGTTGGAACCCCTGTTCCTCGGTGCTCTTAGCTCTCTAAGAGGACTGCTCTTTGTTTACTGCATGTAGTTTCTAGTTAGATAGTTGTCCGTTAGTTTTAGTAGTTAGCTAGCTAGCTCTCCCTTGCACTTCTCCCCGTCAGGAGTTCTTTTTCCCTGACCCCGGGACTATGCACTGGCAAGCTGGCTTCAAGAACTGTGCTTTGTGCCATCACTCCTTTTTCAGTGAGCGACAAGCACACTCATTGTCTTTACTGTCTTGGCGAAGCCCACATAGTGTCTCATTCTTCCATCTGCCGCTCGTTTCC